TAATTTGGGGCGCTGAATATGAGTATCACAGTGACAAATTTCTTAAGTGTTATCAGACGGAATTTAGGGTGAAAAGTTGTCGAGAAACTATTTTTCCGGGCTAGCCGTAAATTCTACCGATGTACCGACACCGAATTTGGAATCAACGCACCCGATTTACCCAGAAAACAAGTTTCCATCTCGATCATAGACGCGCAAGGGTTTTTAGAAATTTTTTATTAGTCGTTTTTTGACAAAGTTTTATATGTATGTGATCCCGTTTATGATGTAGATCTAATTACTTAGCGAAAAATTGCAAAACCAGGCGTTTTTTGCGACTTTAAGGTGCTAAAAATCCATTTTTACTATCGATGGCTATATGAGGGCGGAGCTTTGCACAATGAGGTAATTTGGGGCGCTGAATATGAGTATCACAGTGACAAATTTCTTAAGTGTTATCAGACGGAATTTAGGGTGAAAGGTTGTCGAGAAACTATGTTTCCGGGCTAGCCGTAAATTCTACCGATATACCGACACCGAATTTGGAATCTACGCACCCGATGTACCCAGGAAACAAGCTTCCATCTCGATCATATACGCGCAACGGTTTTTAGAAATTTTTTATTAGTCGTTTTTTGACAAAGTTGAATTCTTGCCAGTATCTTGAAAACGAGACATTTTCGGACGGAATGGGCCATGGATTCGGTTTCAGCGACCCAAAAAGCGTATTATAAGATATGTTGCGTTCAAGTTCCCGACTGACCCATTTTGTGCCTTTTTGGTAAGGATACCCCTATACATGTTAATTATATGTTAAAATGCTTTAAATGCGGTTCAAATGACCCTTATTCCACGTATTTTGGGCTGCCCATATCGAATCCGAGGTCGTTTTATATGTATCTGATCCCGTTTATGATGTAGATCTAATTACTTAGCGAAAAATTGCAAAACTAGGCGTTTTTTGCGACTTTAAGATGCTAAAAATCCATTTTTACTATCGATGGCTACATGAGAGCGGAGCTTTCCGCAATGAGGTAATTTGGGGCGCTGAATATGAATATCACAGTGACAAATTTCTTAAGTGTTATCAGGCGGAATTTAGGGTGAAAAGTTGACAAAGAAACTATTTTTCCGGGCTAGCCGTAATTCTAGCGATGTATAGACACCGAATTTGGAATCTACGCACCCGATGTACCCAGAAAACAAGCTTCCATCTCGATCATATACGCGCAACGGTTTTTAGAAATTTTTTATTAGTCGTTTTTTGACAAAGTTGAATTCTTGCCAGTATCTTGAAAACGAGACATTTTCGGACGGAATGGGCCATGGACTCGGTTTCAGCGACAAAAAGCGTATTATAAGATATGTTGCGTTCAAGTTCCCGACTGACCCATTTTGTGACTTTTTGGTAAGAATATGAATATCACACACAAAATGAGAAGGTCTCTATAAATAAAATACGAATTTTAGGGGCAACCTTCAAGTTTCCAAATAAAATTTTATTCAAATACGACTACAATGTACCGTTCTGAACAACTGATTTATTAACAAAAGGCAGGCGGACAATTGATGTTGATCTAAAAAATATACAGTTAAAGCAATGTTACAAGGGTGCTATCCCAATCAGCAAAAAAAAGTATGATCATCTGCAATTCCTATGTGGCAAGGGGATTGTACCTACTCGGTACCGCAGTTTCAACAAGAACTTACCGTTTTTCAACGTAAGTAGGGAGGACGACTTAGAATAGAAGTTCATCATTTTTCTGTTACAAAAAGGTTCTTAATACTACCAATTTTTTATATATCAGGTAGCAATAATTGATCTGGTGGGGATACGGAATTATAATTTTTGTTTCCTGTTATTATTTTGAACTCTTTTGTCAATAAATGTTTTCAACGTATTCCTGTTTCTATTTTTGTACTGCCTAAGCTGAATATATATGGATACAAACATGGGTCAGAACTAGCCTAAGTTACTTATGTTACGACTACACCTTATCCTATGTGGACATAGGGTACAACTTCCAAGAAGGCGAGTATCCTAAGTCCACAAATTTCGGTTTTGTAAGCCTAAATAAAAAGACCTCAGAAGAGCAAAACGCATGCCAGCACACTCATATTATGAACACATTTTCATTCAAGACTTGCAAGAAGTTTAAGACAAAATCAGAAAAAATGATCCCCTGTATAATTAGCATTTTGTGACTTGAGCTAGTTCTGCATTCAGTGAGCGAACATATCATTCCAAACTCTACATGTATAGCGATCGCCGCAATGTTCTAATACTAATAATGTATGAAGTTTTATGAAGTCTTCTTGATAAAATATAGGTAGGAAAATTATACAGAAACTAACAAACTAGTTATTTGACATCACAAACACTAAAAAGTAAAAGGTAGTAATAGAATAAAAAATACATTACACAATATAAATTAAAAAATATTTCTTTACCGATTGTAACTATTTTCTTGAAGGTGATTCTCCTCTATCTCAAGTTCTCAGTAGGATACAAAAAGGGTATAACACGCTTTCGTTTGAAAACATTATAGTCTAATCATATTAGATGGAAATTCCCATAGTTTGCGAAATAATTGTAAAGTCCTATTAAGTATGTTGCGACAGTGAGTTAAACGGTAGTGCAGCATTCCCGGACCGATTTTGAGATGGCAACGCCTCAAACCTAAAAAGCCCAGCAGGGCTATTCCGTAAAAAAAGCTAAAAACGTAAAAAACGACAAAATATCAACTAGGTGTTGAGAGTGAGAAAATTATTACTGAATATGCTGCTCATGAAATATAACATATCTATTAGCTGTGCCAGACGGGTTACTTGTGTTGCCCTTTCCAAAGAGAGGTTATGTTCAATGTTATACATTACGATTTTCCCCGTTTTTGTTGCTACATATATAAATATCACAAAAAAAGTATATGATGTCAAAAAAATGACATGATTCCACTTTTCAAGATGCGTAATACCCCTGCAGGACTGCTTGGGTTATTTGTTATTTAGGACTGAAAATGGAGTCCTACGAATATGAAAACCACAGGTTAAATTAAGTTTGCAATTGCTTTCTTAGGCATCGGAGAATATCAGTAAAACTGTTGCTAGCAAATTAATACACCCGTGACCTTCCTTTGAGAGACAAGACTTTAGATTAAGAATACACACTCATGTCAGATAGATACTCAACCTCAGATCTTATATTGTGAGGGTATTAACAAAATTATTATAACTCGAATGTTTTCATGATAAACTTAAAATTAGAATAAATACTTCACTTCATAAATCCGGTGATCGTTATCAGTTGATTTTGTAAATTATAACTCAATGGCTCTGGATAAAAAACAGGTGGTAGTAACGGTGTGTATAGACTTCAAGGAATATGTGATTTAGAGATACAATGTATAATTTTATTTAAATTTATTTGCTTAACATGAAACTATGTGTGAAAGTTGATAAAACTGATCTAGTGACAATGATGTCCACGAGAGGGCAGTCTTTGGGCTACTATTGTACTCTAAGCAGAGCAAATTTTGATGTAAGGTTTATTGCTTCTGCAGACGACACAGTTTTTACCTATAAAGGAAATAATGTAAGTTTGTCAATTGTAGCTATTAACTATCTGATCAGACAGTACTGTCGATTGACGAGAAAATCATACCCAAGTCGGTTCGTCCGTGGGGTGCGACACAGATGGACATGTTCAAATTGCAACGTCCCTCCCTTTGGTATCGAGGGTCGAAAACCGCTTAGAATAGGGGTCCTGAATACAACTGGATCTGTACCCCATTCGTAGTCCATTTATGCCCAGACAAAACACAACATGCCCAAAAGCGAGACTGTACATGTAGGGAATAATCTAAAAAACAAATGATTATTTTTACAGAAAGAAGTACACGTACTGTTCATACTACTTTATTTACTGGAAGGACTCGAATCATCGTCCGAATGGTTAATATTAATTATTACAGGTTCAATTTGAATATCGATCATATTGTTCAGATCCCATATCCTTGTATCGATTGTCTCTTGGACGTGTCGGATGCAATCCTTCCAATGGTTTGTCAACACTCTGCTGACAGCTTCATAAAACAAATTTTTCACGTCAGAACATTTGAATGTTCTATTGTTTGAAGCCACATAGTTTTTTTTTTAACATATAATTGGCATTGGAAGTTATCCATTTGCCACAGATGTGTGTTACTTATATTTCTCTAATTATGGACAAACACACGACGTCACAACATCCATGGCGAAGGCAAGATTCGAACTCGCGGCCCGGCCGGCCGGCTGATCAGTAGCACGACACTCTGACCAACGCGGCCAACCGAGGCCCCACATAGTTTTTTATATTTGCCCTAATCACTCCAATGGGATTTGATTCTCAGTGATAAGGGGTAGCCTTAAAACGGTCTTATTTCGGTTTTTAGACATTTCGTCAATAACATTATCATTATACTTATTTAGATTTGTGCTGCCTGACTAGATGGATAAGTTCTGCCTTGACCATATTTTCGTTGAAACTAATGTCTTCTGATAGGAGCCATTGTTGAATTTCTGCCTTTCTTGTGGACATTGTGGGAATTTTTTTTTAGTTTTCTAGTGTGATAAGCAGCGTTATCAAGTACAATGACGGTATTGTCATCAAGCTTTGGGAGCGTTTCTTCAAACCATCCTTCAAATGAACTCCCGTCCATTTGTTCATGGTAGTCGGTCGCTTTCTTTGACTCAAATGCCCATAGGGCAGTGAGCATGAAGCCATATTTACTGCCAATGTGACATATAACAAAATCGTTTTCCTTTTCCTGGAAATAACTATTCCATATAGTATTCAAGAACACTAATAATAATACAAGCAGAGTATCTCAGTTCCAAATCTACTGGATATCGCTAAGTTTAGTGTAGCTAAGTTTTCGCTCTTATAAACGTTAAGGACAATTTCTTTTGCCTTAATATTCAAATATCCCTTCTTGTCACGTTTTCGGGGAGGAGACATCACTGAAGGGGAAGCATGGCAGTACAAAGCAATCTGCATGCGCTCGAACCAATTTTCTAAGCACTTATTCCACTCGTTTTCTGGCAGATCCAAAACGGCATTTTTGAATGAGTCAACTGCTTCTTCTGGTGACTGAAACCTTTGACCACGCAGTCTGTTTTTAATTTTCTGGAAAGTAAAGGAATCGTTAGGACTTAGATCGGGACTATGTGCAGGATGGTCCAATAATTCCACGTTTTCTTCCGTTAAATACTGCCTTGTTTTTTGGGCTCTGTGCGAGCTTGCATTGTCTTGGTGGAGGATGATTCTTCTTTCGGGGTTGATTTTTCGAAGCTCGGTGATGTTACATGTTTATACAATTTTCTATAATGGGAATAAATATACTACAGTGCTAGATGCTTTTTGTAAATCCGGGCAAGCATTCTTCATAATTGATAAAACAGCCATTAGTCTTTGCAAAGCACTCACAAAGTATTTTAGTAGCTTTGGCACACCCAAAAAAATCGTAGGATATTCAGGAAAGGAATTCAATAATGAAACTGTTAAAGAATTGTTGAAATTGCATAAAATTAAAGTACATTTCACTACACCACAGCATCATGAATCAAATGGCATAGCAGAAAGGTTTCATTCAACCCTTACTGAGCATTTGAGAATTTTGAAAGAAAAATACCCAAATGAAGATGATCTCATTGATTATGCCATTATAGGTTATAACAATTCAATTCATTGCGCCACCGGTTTTACCCCTTTTGAATTAGTAATTGGTCATACTAAATCCAGACATGCAGATGAAATTTTAATGCCAAAGGAAATTTTCTCAGAATACGTTGTAAATCACAAGCAAAAAATTAGTAAGGTATAGGATGCAGTACAAGGTAAATTAATAAAAGATAAGCAAAATGTTTTGGTGAAGGGGAATGTTAAAGGTGATCAATGTGAAGAATTTATTGTTAATCAAACAGTATATAAAAAGAACCCTAAAATAAGGAATAAAAAACATAATTAATTTATAGGACCGTATACTATTGTAAATCTATTAGAGCGTAATAGAGTTGGAATAAAAAATGACGAAGGCAAAATAGAAATAGTTCATATCAAAGAATTAAGAAAATCTCACTTGTTACAGGAAGAACATGGAAGCAATGAAAATCTTGCTGATCCTCCTAGTAGTCGCCAAGGTGATAACTAGTGAAGTAAAGGTTACAGATTTATCCAACACACCTGGCATCCTTCCTTTTAAATTAGGTAATGCCCATTTAGTGAATAGAAAACATATTTTCTTACATGATGTTCAATTGGAGGATCTGAATGAACATATTCATAATTTGGTAAATATATATACAAATCTAAATCCTTCTTTAGTAAGTAGCCCCCTCTATTATATGGTATTAAGAATAAGTACGATCAGCTGTTTTCTGTAATAACTGAAATAAAAAACAAATTCCAAAATATTTTTCTTAGAGAGTTTAGACAGAGACCAGGATTAATTAATTTAGGCGGATCCATAGGTAAATGGTTATTCGGCACGTTAGATGAATCGGATGGTAAACGTTTCGACAATGCTATTACAATTTTGAGCTCAAATCAAAAGTAAATCATTAAGGAAATAAACTGTCAAATTTGCATGGCCAAAAGTCTTGTTGAAAAATATTCAAGAACCATTGATACAATCAGTGAAAATCAAAGGAAAATTTTTTAATATATTGAGGATTATAAAGCGTACATTCAAAGATGACCAAACGCATACATATACAATTTTAGTAAGTATCTGGATCAGATATTTATTGGTGCTAATGTTATTATTACCTTCCTAGATAATTTGGAAAATGCAGTCACATTTGCTCAATTAAATATAGTTCACCCAGATATTTTGACAAGTAAAGATCTATTACAAATTTTGGATGAGATAAGAAATTATTATATGCTTAAAGAAATTTTGAAAATCAATTTACGATCTTGGTATTCAATGATTAATGTTAAATGTTATTGTCATGACACTAAGATTATATGTGCCATTGAAATATCGATTATTTACCCATCAATCCTACAATATTTCCAGTTATTTCCAATTCCTACGAATGAACATACCTTAATTATACCACAAAAACCTTACTTGGCTCTAGAAGACAGAAGCTATCAATACATGGGACATCCCTGCGCCCAATTATAAAATTCATATATATATGTCAACAAGAAGAAATTAAGTATAATCCTGGTGAAGACTGTGTCTCAAGTCTGATCTAAGGAAAACTGTCACAAGGCCATTTAGTACCAGTGGAACCCGCAGAAAGAGTAAATGACGAATACCTCATTATCATTACTGAAGAAAAAATTACTTTGAAATCAAAATGTCCAATGAAGAGTATTTTACTGGCCAGCACTTTAGTAGATGTTCCTGTAAACTGCAATATAGAATAGAAAGACTACCGTTTTGGAAATAGACAGAAAAAGGCCATTGGAAAGCACTTAGTATGACCTTCAATAGCTAAAAATTCATCAGTGGAATTACCCAACCTAAAACTAATACCACTGAAATTAGGAAAAACTCCATTAGAAGATATGGACGAACTCGAAAAGCACATGCAGACTATAAATGAATTGGTGATCGAAGACGTGAACCCGATTGATCAATCCAATTGGTCGCTATGGTCAACGATCGCAGTAATATTAGCCGTGGTCGCCGTCTTTACTTCAATCAAGCTTTTGAGGAAGAAATTGAAGAAACACAGGACGCCTCAACAAGTTACCAAAATTCAAGATAGCCCGCCTTAAGTGCTGTTCCAGCTGCATCAACTTTTTCCATCCTTATCTTACATACACACTTGCATTGTTATTCAGATTCACTTTGCTTTTGTTACAATCAATTCTGTAATTCTTCTTAATAAAAATTTTGTTAGTTCGGTCTGAAAACAAGTATTTTGAGTTTTTTTTTTTAAACTCATCGTCGCAAGCTCCCGCCCTAACTTGCGTTTAAAATACTATGTGGTGGAAATTACTTGCGCGGATGCTATGGTGTTTAACCTCGACACTCAACATCCAATTTTCAACTTCTGCAAAACATTTTCTGAAAATGATTAGGATTCTTTGAAACCTGAAGTAGGTTGACTCTGGACTCCTTACTCAACGCCGTCATTAGTTCATAAAGAATTAAGTTCAGCACAAATTTAGCCTTCTGAATAAAAAACTAGTACCAACATGTAGAATAGAGAAATTAAATGGACCAGGTCAGTCAAAAAGACATAATTTCCCTGTCCAGAACAATTAAGCAGACCGTTAGGCCTGGCGCTGAGCTAACATAACAGGAGATGAGTATTGAAAACGTTTCTCTGTCATCCTTAGTCTTAAAGCCAAACGTTCGGAGAAACCTGTGAAATATGGCTAATAGGTGCGTAGAATTACCAGGGTTGTGAAATTATAAATATACTTGTATCAAACAATTGAGATATACTCACACCCAACCCCTACAACACCCCACCAGCTACAATTGCACCCCATCCCCTAATATCTCACACATAAAATTTCTTTCATTTCTTTCAGAAATGACCAGGATTCTCTGAAACCTTAAAAAACGACGTTTTTTCTCATTTTCGTCTTTTTCCTTTGCCGCCAGTGGACCGATTTAAAAAGAGTATAAAGCTTTTCCATCATCGGCGTAGTAATAACCTTGTACAAAAATTTCATCCAAGTTACAGGCGGGCCAAGGGTTCGCCGACAGGCACATTGACAGATAGACAGACCGACGGAATTGAGTGACTCGGTCTTTTGTCATGTACATTTCACATAACATCCAAAAACACTATATCTCATTATACATTTTTCGGTGTTGCAATACTTTCCCCTTCAAAAGGCGAGGGAATTAACACTACAATACTTACACATTTTGGTTTGTGTGAAGCCAAAAATATCTCATTATTTGTTTAGGAAATATACTCCAATTGTTTTTTTTTTTGATGGGTAACTTTAGAGCCAGAGGTATTTCCATACTTCTGCTTAACATTGGAAGTTTTATTATTTGGGGAATTTTTCCAATCATTTGTTTACACGCATGATAAGGTATTATATCGTCTGCAGGTCCATTGACCGTACTGACAAAAAAACCAGTGGCGTGCTTAGTTAGACCCAGAAATACACCGTTAAGCATAGCTTTCGGCCCTCAAAGTCTACCGCCAATTCCCATAGTATCATATAATTCACTCAATCAATTTGAGAGAAATATATAAGTTTACGTATACGTTTTTGTTCAGTATAATAAGATATAATAGCTGGCATGTTATAAACCTGAATTAAAGATATTTAAGAAAATTTAAAGTCACCAAGCATCCAGAACTGATAGGCATACTTTTTAATATACAGTATTTCAAACGCATTCCAATAAAAACCGCAAAAATGCGGTAAGTGAACCTGAATTCCGAGATTCTTGTGATTTTACGCCTAAAGGTACCCTACTAAGCATATTGCTAAAAAAACCCAAACCATAGAAGAAGCCAATAAAGTACCACTCGATCATCCGTAGTGATATTAAAAATACCTGTGATCGCAACACACTGATAAAAAATTTACTTATCTGAATGGCACTCGAAATCTAATTCAGTATAAAATGCCATCAAACTTTGTTGTAAATTATTTTAGTATGAATCCCCAGATCGTATTACTGCCTTTATTGGCATGTTTTTTAATATCCAGCACATTAGGTACTTATATTAGCCCTTTCAAGTTAAAAGAGGTTGAATATCATGGGGAAGATGTTGGTGAGCCATTAATACTGACACCACTATTGGAAAAAGGGAAAGTGAAACAAGCTAGGGCAGCTGCCAAAGTGTCACTAGGTGGTGTGGCTAAGGTAAGAAAAACTTTATTCCTGTTTTTTTTTATTTTGTGTTGTATTTTAAGACATTTTGGAACAAAGGCAGGTCACAGCTTTAATAAACGTTATCTATACGCTCAATAGATGTGCTTTAGGATGTTCTGAAAGTTGGGATTTACCCATTGAGAAACAATTACGTGAAATGATAGTTTTGATTATTTGTTGTTGGAAATTTTATCCAAAAAACATCCATAGTTTGACAGCCTGTATACCTGCTATGTCGACAGGTGGAGTAGTGGATCTTGTGCTTTTTATCTTGCCCAATTTTACCAATTCGTTTTTTCGAATTTTTTAAATTTTCAGTACAGGGTGGTCACAAGCAGAAATGTGCTTTTTCGCAAAAAAATAGACTATATTTCAGAAGTATGCCTCCAGAATACCATTTATAGTAATCCATAGTTTTCTTTGAATAGTTTCTGTTTAGGAGTGCTACTCCGTCCTCGTACGGCTGGCATACTCTGTATAGTGTTAGTAGTCAAAGACTTCTATACACGCCTCTTTTGAGAAGGTCATCATTCGTCTCGCATATTATATGCCTTGACGCTACCCTCAGGTCATAAAAGTGCTCGTCTAATAACTATATTAATTACACTTTTCTTATCTATTATATTTAATACTCGAAATAAACCTACCTTCCTCACATTACCAAAGGTAGTCAACATATTTTCATATTGGTCAATGGCTAGTTACATAATATGTCTGGTAGCACACTGTATGACATCAACATCACTATTTTTTTTTTTCAGGATGTAGCTAGTTATGCTGGTTACTTGACTGTAAATAAACAGTACAACTCTAACCTATTCTTTTGGTTTATCCCATCAACTGGTGACTACGTAAACGATCCAGTATTGTTATGGCTACAGGGAGGTCCTGGCAGTCCATCTATGTACGGTCTTCTGATGGAGCATGGACCATTTGCAATCAACGACGACATACAACTGGAAAGAAGAGAACACTGCTGGACTAACAACCATTCAGTCATCTACATAGACAGCCCCGTAGGCACTGGATTCAGTTTTACCAAATCCGAAAAAGGTTACGCCACAGAGCAAACTCAAGTTGGAAGTGAGCTGTACAAGGCACTCCAGCAGTTCTTCCAGCTCTTCCCAGAACTGAGGAAGAATGATTTTTATATCACTGGAGAATCGTATGGAGGGAAGTACGTTCCTGCACTGGCTTACACAATTCACAAAAATAACCCCGATGCAAAAGAAAAAATAAATTTGAAAGGAATTGCTATTGGAAATGGGTACACAGATCCAGTGCATCAAAAAGGTTATGCTGAGTACGTATATCAGCTCGGATTGGTTGATGAGGAAACAGCCAAGGCAATAAAGCGGTATGAAGTAAAAGGTAAGGGACTCTGGGGCAGAATCTTTGATGATTATAGTTTGAAATTGTTACAACTTGTCGAAATAACAACGAACTGCTATTGCGGTAGCCCTGGGAACCTGATTATTGCATAGTCTATTCTACAAATGATTACAGTCCAGACGTATGCGCGGCTAATATACACAATGTTACCACTAACATTATAAAACACACTACCTAGCCACCTATGACACACCTCTGAGTGGGCAGAACCAAGTCAACATTGACATTTAATTTAATATGTTAGATTCCTTTGAAAGATAGGGCTCAGAATATCTCATCTTGGATTTGATCATTTTGGATTTGATAAACACATTTTAGGCAAAAATGAACTCAACAGAGTGTACCTTTGAAGTACACAATTAACACACGAAATATTGCGTATTTTTTTTATCTCATAATCCACCCGATTATATAATTTCACAGTGTTATATGGGAAAGATGTGTATGCCATGTCTCTGTCTACATATATCTCGGAAACGGTTAAAAATACGATGTCGCATCGGCTAAATGGTTGAGCATTCAGGTAAATGAGAAAATGGCAATTGGAAAGCTTCCAGTTCACTATGCTTCCGGAGTGAGATACCAAAAGCTCAACTTTACAAAATAGTCTTTATTTTATCCTGACTTTATTCGAGGTGGGATTTCAAAATAAATTGCACACTACCATTGGCAATTTTTTCCTCTAAAAGGTGTCATAATCAGAACTTATATCCAACTTTTCGTTTTTGTCCTCAATAACCAACTGTGTTTTTTTTATTATGGATGCCGTATTGAATTTTGCATAGGTAGTTTTTAATTCTAGTTCGAATAATTTATAATGGTTCAAAAAAAAATATATTCGTAATTTAGACCAGCTACACTCCTTTTTAGATATTTAGAGTTTTATGGTTATTATAGTTTTAATATGAATCCATGTGATAATGATCATTATAATATTACATCTTAAAAATCGGTTAATGCGGATTGTTGCCTAGATTAGAAAAACTGAAACAATTAGCTATCATAATTTCAAGGCAGACCTGGAAAATCACGCTTTTTTTGGAAAAAAACTAAGGTTTGACGGTGTCTATGACATGACAGTATTGAAGACAGGGTAAAACATTCTGTTTACCTGTACAAAAATCTAGTATAGCGTGTATAAGGAAAAATGAAGTTGATGATGGACAAAAGACGAAACGTCATATTGGAATTATATATGCACCTTATAGAGGGGAAAAAGGGATAATGCTAATGTATAATTGATTTTGAAATCCCACCTTAAAACAGGAAAAAATCAGTTCGGGTAAATTCAGTGCGAAACTTTCCAGGTACCAACCTCCTGGTAACCTGAGTATGCAACTTTGTCCCCACTTCGTAGCCCTAAATGACGCAGGCAGACGTACCCACAGGGGCAAAGACATCAGCAAGAGACACCCTTTATCTCAAATGTAAAGCATTCGGGGCTTTTTGTCCATTGGAATATTTGATCAGCACGTTATATGGCTATGACTGTAAAAATCTCCATTAAATTTGACGTATGGTTAAATTCCATATGTTTCGTGGCTCTTATTACTGGTAGCCAAAATGAAAATAGATGTTTTGTACTACCCTTGTTTTGTTGAATCGAATTGATAAATGCCTACTTGTTTATTTTTAGCAACTGAGCTCATCTACAAAAAAGACTTCCGTCGATCGGTAGAAATGTGGGGTGCTGCTCTCAACGAAATCAGGCACACTGGGGTGAGCTACTACAACTACCTTAAGGAAGAAGATGACGCTTTGCAGGACGCGATGATCTTATTCCTCAACAAGCCTGGTACTAGACGAGCCTTACATGCTGGTAGTGTCACTTTTGGATCAGACAAGGTGTACGATTATCTACGAGAAGATATGGCGAAAACCATCGCACCCTGGTTTGTTGTCGTAGCCAATCATTATAGAGTACTGTTGTATTCCGGCCAACTAGACATCATTGTGGCATATCCGCTGACCCTGAACTTTTTGGAAAATGTAGAGTTTAATGGCATTCACGAATATCGTAAGGCTCAAAGGAAACTTTGGTATGTTGAGAGGGAGATAGCCGGATACAGCAAGAGTGGTGGAAACTTCACTGAAGTTTTAGTGAGAGATGCTGGCCACATGGTACCAGCTGATCAACCGAAGTGGGCTGAAGATTTGATTTATAGGTTCACAAGAAATCAACCAATTCATTAATATTGTTCAATGTTCAATAGTTTATAAATAAAAGTGATACATTGCCAACCTTTATTTTCCATACTTCAAGAGACGAATGTGGCGCCTACTAGATTAATTTTGAGCTACATACGTAATGGCATTGTTACGAATATACAAATTTCGAGGTCAGTTTTGACTAAATCCACAGCTATTAAATAATTAATAGGAAGTACATGATCGACCTACTCAAATGGGTAATGCTTTTAGGTGGTCACAGACAGTGTAAGAAACTGGTTTTTGGAAATAGACTAACTTGAAATAATCTATATATACAGGGTGTAAGGTTAGTAGTGGACACATGTCGAATGAACCCCTATATGGGTGATCCGAAATTTTATAGTTCAGGAGATATTTGCAATTTTGCGAAATTTCGAAAAAACAGGATAAGCTTTCAATCGCAATTACAATTAAATCATTAGGTTTAGGGATCTGATTTTTCTCTCAGATGAGCTAAATGGTTAGCTTTAGCAATGGTTATGTCACTTTTCAACAAAGTTTATTAGAAATCAACGCAAGAAATCTTAAATTATTTTTTTTAAATCTCTTCCATTCCTCAACTTTGGACGGCGGTAAAATAATTGAGGTTGAATTTCGTCATTCATTTTATTGTAAAAACTATTCTCATCCATGTAGAATAAACCCTGAAAATTTCAGCTTGTTAAGATAAGAATCCTTACCACCTACAAGTACAGGACATATTGTTTATGGCGATCCACCGACAAATGTGGATGATAATTCAATTTAACTAGCTTTTAAAGAACATGTTCGAAATGGTCTCCATTATTTTCTTTACACAAGCGACACCGTCTAATTAAACTGTCCTTTAGTCTCTGAAATGAGCTTGCGTCTTCTACAATTTTTATTTCTGCCTCATCAATTCTCTGGTGCAGTTGGTTGATATTTGTATATTCAGATGTATAGGTTATCCCCTTAAAGAACCCCCTAATAAAAATCTGGAGGATTTAAATCGGGTGACCTTGGACGCCATCGTGTGTGTCCACTACTACCTATCCAACGCCCAGGAAAGGCACTGTCTAAGTAATGCCGTACATCCCGAGCAAAGTGGCATGGAGCACTATCGCATGGAAAATGCATGCGGCTTCATACGTCCAAATGTACATCCTATAGCAGCTCATGCAAACAGTTTTGTAGAAAAGCAAGATATGAGTGACCATTCATATGGTGCAATTAATTTTTGTTGAGTACTCCAGCCCTTAAGTTAACGCCGAACTGATGTTGAAAGCTGTGTCGGCGAATAGCGTGTGGATTTTCCACGCTCCATGAATGGAAATTGTGCATGTTGAATATTCCATTTCGGTTAAAGTTGGATTCATCTGTCCATAAGATGCTGTCGAAAAAAGTTTTATCCTCTTCGCGCATTCTCAATATATTCCCACAAAAGTCAACCCGTTATGCATAGTCGCTTGGTAGCAATTCTTGTACTTTTTGTATATGGTAAGGATGCATGTTCTCCGAACGTAGTATTGTGTGCACTGTAGTACGTGATATGTGGTTGTGGTCAACTCCCGATACATGCAAGCAGCTGCTCGAGCATTTCCTAGGGCAGCACCATAATAGTAATACATTTCTGCATAATCTCGCGGAGAATATGACATGATTCTACTCAGAAGAAAAACGTTAGATACAAATTTCGCATTGGACCATTGCCTGACTTAGTAATTTCGGTCGGACCGTAGATTTTATGCTCCCGCACCCGGAATGCCGAGTTGAATGCCCGAGCTCATTAAGTTGATTTGACTACTTGCGTCCGCCATTTTGATTTTACAAAATGCTTATACACGCAGTATCGCTCGCACTGCTAGGACGAATCTAACAGTACCTCATATGTCAAAATCCATCAAGTCGTTTAGATTGTATCTCGTAAAATAGAGTTTCTTGTCTACATGTATAGTCAAACATACGAAAAATTAATGAGATCTGTTTTTCGGACATTATATAATGTGTACATGACAAAAACTAGTCGCTCATTTCCCTCGGTCTGCGGGTCTGCCGGTCTGTGGATCTGCTGATCCTTGGCCCACCTATAACCTAGAAAGTACTGCTCGGATTTGGATGCAATATTCACAAAAGATTACTAACGGGTGATTCTTTAGGAGGTATAGGATTTGATTTTCAAACAAAAAAACACAAAAAATTTGAAAAAACGATTACTTAAATATTTATTTGAGTCGATAGAACGGTCGATATAATTTAATGTCTAATTAATTTAATAAATGCTTCAATATTGGCTTCCAGTGCGTCAATCGTTGCTGGTTTATCCCTGTAGACATTAGCCTTAACATGGCGACACAAGAAATAGTCCAACGGCGTTAAATCACACGATCTAGGCGGCCAATGGACGGGCCCCAAACGTGAGATAAACTGTTCACCGAACTCGCCTTTGTTTCGTGTGCGGTGTGGCTTGTGGCACCGTCTTGTTGAAACCACAAGTCACACAAGTCCAGCTCTTCCATTTTGGGTAAAAAAAAGTTTGTTATCATCGCACGGTAGCGCTCGCCATTCACAGTTACGTTCCGGCCATTGTCGTCTTTGAAGAAGTATGGCCCGATGATGCCACCGGCCCATAATCCACACCAAACAGTTATTTTTTCGGGATGCATTGGTAGCTCTTGCAATGCTTCTGGCTGGTCTTTACTCCAGATGCGGCAATTTTGCTTGTTAACGTACCCATTCAACCAGAAATGAGCTTCGTCGCTGAACACAATTTTTCGATAAAAATGTGGATCTTCCTCCAACTTTGCCAGCGCCCATTCACCAAATTGGAAACGTTGTGGGAGGTCGTGTGGCTTCAATTCTTGCACCAGCTGTATCTTATAAGGTTTTACACCCAAATGCTGTCGCAAAATTTTCCACGTAGTGGAGTAACAGAGGCCCAATTGCTGCGAACGGGGGCGAATCGACATTTCACGGTCATCACTAACACTGGCGGATACAGCCGCAATACTTTCTTCAGTCCTCACTCTACGTCTGCGTGTTGGTGGTTTAATGTCCAGTAATGTAAACTGGGTTCGAAATTTAGTCACAAGCTTCCGAATAGCTCCCTCAGTAGGTCGACCAAATTGCCGATAAATTGGGAGCAGTGCTCGATGCACTCTCTTAACCGAGCAAGAACTTTGATAGTAAAGTTCAATAATTTGCAAGCGTTGTTCTTTCGTAAGTCGATTCATGGTTAAATTATAGGCCAAATTGAACAAGTTTGACAATGACACAAGACACGATTCATGCGTCATCTGTCAAAAACAGTGTTGCCAAAAAGATACTAGCAAAAAAACACCCATTACTGTACCAAAGTTGACGCTTTAGAGGACCCTGATTATTTGTGGAAAAATTTTAAGGGGTGAAAAACCAGGAGATGGCTGTATAGGATGGAAGAGGGTACATCTCAGTCTTTTGATGTCAGTGTATTTATACGCTCCCAACATTGGTAATTCTACGCACGTATTAGACATATTTTACTCGTAACCTTGCTCTTAAGATTTAGATTGTTGGAGATATGCTTTCGATATACTGGGAACAGATCATCCATCGAGCCTATATTCCAGGAAGAACGACGGCAATTCTGCTCATACTATAAACTTGACGCCTGTAGTACCAGTGGAGCTTTGACAGGGTTGCCAAATGTGGAGGTTCTTTACTTAAAGAATTTTTAGGGATATTATATTCTGGGGGAAATCCCACGCTTCGCGTATATAAAGTATACTCATGCCCTTTAAACCAAACCTACCCGTTTACATTATACAACTGTGATTTGGAGGACATTTGCTTTGAGAAAGTAGCAATTTTGAAGGATTTTTGTGCTTGTTCCCGTAAAGTTCTGTCCTACCCATATGGCGACGTTGTGCTTGGACAGAAGACTTTTCTAATAGTCTAAGATCCGGCCGCATGAATCTGCCTGGTAAAGGCAACCCCGCTGTAATCTATTCCACTAATATTTATCCTTCTTTCGTTCAAAACAACTGTTAGATTTACGTGTGGTTTAAGAAAATAAGACAATGTTAGCCATGCTTACAACACGCTTGGGTGGATGAAGCTAAAGTCTTTGACTGCTTTTCCTTATTTGGTCTTTCTCCATAAACTGCTCGCAGCTGTTAAACCCAAGTATCTATGAGATAAACTTATTTCTTTCTAGTGAAATTCACAACAAAACTCTAATATACATACCGAATATGAGAATACCCGATCGCTACACCTCCCTTTTCAAACCTCCATTTTCTTATAGTGCTGCTAGTCTCTTTAATAGTATTCCTGTTGACTGTAAAATTATGAGTCTATCTTGTTTCTTGTTTTCTTTGTTCATTTTTTGTTTGTTAATAATATAAAATTATGTGAATTAGTTTATGAACACTTTCGCCGGGTAAGACTATACTTTAGCGCATAAAGGCCGAAATTCTTGGTATTTTTCGGAACAAAAATAAAGAAATCAGCAAAAATGATCATGTTTAAGTAATAATCTAAAATAATAATTCAAAATACATAAAATGATTTACTTGGTAAACTGTGTAAAGCTGTTGTGTTGTGATTTTTCAATGCCTCCTTGAAGCTCCTTGACCATTTTTTTGCATATTTTCAATGAGAAGTTCTTGCGTTTATAAGAAATATTTGGAAGTACAAACAATTCTCAATGGCCATTATATAACGTTCATTTCTTGACAGCTAAGATAGATGCTGTCCGTTGTTGCCAAATTGTACTTTTTTGGAGAAATACGTAATAAAAAAGATTATTTGCAAAATGAAAGTCTTAATTATAAATGGTTTGTTTTATAAGAAGTTGTCTCAATATCTACTGAAAAACAGATTGACATTTTGAACAGCATGTGCCTAAGCAGTGAAAAATCCGCCAGCGGCTCGCGTGACAAACACTACTAAAGGCGCTAGCGGTCGTTACACATAAAAATACTCAAATTATGGATATTATTGGGTCATTTAGCCATTATATGGTGTTTCCAGAGAGCCCCTCGTGGAGGTAACTGATGATAACTCGCCAATCCCTTCAATAAGTCATCATTAGGAATTCGCCTTTGGAAATTCAATTTTTGCTTCTTATTAGAGGCATTACGTGAACGCGACAATGCTTACGCCAAAGATATCAAGATCCAGGACGAGCATATCGTTGGATTATCGTGTTAAGCGGCTCGGCATTCCTATCTGACGCCTCCACCGTCCTGACATCTGCCCTTTCCGATTTTTCAATCATTCTCTAGTACCCAGTGGCCTTTGACGTTGAAACCTCGGTTATATTTGCGCTTACCCAACTGCGATTCGTCTATTTGGACCACGTCGCCAGGTCCACCCAACATTATTGTTATCTAAATAATGATCAACGACCATTTCATCAAATCATCAAAAAACTTCACATTAAATAATTCTTCAAGTACATACATACAAAAAGTAAATAGAGTATAACTATAATATAGGGAAAAAATTGGTGGCCATACGGCATAATGTTGCATTGCATTATTACGATGAACGGTGTCACTGTAACATACAGTTATATTCATATAATTTTGAGCATTCTTTTGTGTAAGCAAGAAAAAACCAGCTTATAAAATAGTGTTCTATACTTACTACACTATTACCACCCAAAATGCAACTTTGTAGTTCTATAAAATAGCAAGCAGAGGGCTCCTTAAAGAAAAAATATTTTCGTACAAGTTAGTTAAAATAAGAAATTAAGTAATTACGATATGCGCTAAAGTATAGTTCAGCCATTTTGGCTGTGTGCTTGTAGGCATTTAAAACAATTTTTCGATGTTTTACTAAACTGGTTGGAACTTTATTGTTTTGTGTGTCTTTCACCATTTTTTTGTATTAATATGATTAAGTGTAAGAGTAGATTTAACTAAGCTTCGTCATAGTAAATCGCACGTCTGTAGCTTTATTAATAAAGACGGTAATATTACTATTCATAAAAATTAAGTTTTATCAAAATAAAAATAGATACCTCTGATGTCTTGCGCATGCGCAATAACTGTTACCAGCTTTGATCACTGCGTCCTCAACCAGGTGTCAAGTTTTGGGACGTGTTTTTGTCATTTCGCTTGTTCTCGCGGTATGTAGGCTTCATGCAGTTCGTTAATACGATCACCTCGTTCCTGTTTCTGCATTGCACCATTGTATCGCTGGCGTAAAGCCCTCTTTGATGTGATTGATGCCAGAGGCAAATATCATTCCGGAGTGAAATCGTCTTCCGTTATGCAGATTTATGCTGAGCACTTTTCAGAATATCTGCACGTGCAGATTAGAGCGAAACGGACACCAAGAGCGAAGTATACAGACAAGGAGGAGTAAGGCGAGAGTACATTCACTGTTAAACCTCATTGAATTCGAATTGATGAGAAGTAGGAAAGCTGCACATTGCATTGCTTGTTGCCAAAATCGCTTAGTTTTTTTTACTACGAATTCCTACCAATGTGACATCGTTGTATTAACATATAAATTCACATTGTGTATTTTGAATCACAAAAATCGCTGTCGCCTTCTAGGAAGTCACGCCGTGCCAAGCGAAACAAGCCTCACTACAAATAATAATAATAATAATAATAATAATAATAATGGTTTATTGGTGCTGTTGCACAGAACGTGCTTACACAAGTCAATATAATAGAAGCGCTCAGTTACAAGAAGAACATAAATGACAAACAATACATGTAATAACAAACAGTACAGATTACACACACCTAAATATGGTTAAGAGGATGACAATAAAAGTATAAAAGATAAAATTATTACAAACTACGTTAAAATCAATAAATAAATAGCATAAGAGATAGAACTGAAATAAATATTTTATACATCGTTCGAATAAGTAGCAAAAAGAGGAAATGTAGTTTGAAACATAACTATTGAGTATCCGTGGAGAAGTTGTGGTTGAGAAACTCGTCAATGGTGAAAAAAGCAGCCGACAAGAGCAATTTTTTCACAGCATTACTGGATTCATTGTATGCTAGTGATCTTAGTTCCCTAGGTAAAATATTATAAAATTTTATGCCATGGTAGTTAACTCCATTCCTTGTTTTAGCAAGTCTATGTTGTTTTGGGTACAAGTTGTGCCGGGTATTATATGAATGAGTTTCATGGTGGCTTGTATAAAGGTCAGGATTTGACTTGACATGCAAGAGGCAGCTCAATATACAGGGTGTCCCAGAAGGCGACGTCAAGCCGAAACCGGGTGATAGGCTAAGTCATAACAGCTATCAGAAAAATATTTAAAAAAATTTTATGTATGGGTTTTGAAAATTATAGGTCTTTGAAAAAGATATAGAAATTTCACACCCTACGGCAGTCTGTCAACTCCTGTTACTACAAATATTAACTTTTTTTGGATTTTATTTTTACAATGTAATGATGAATAATGCGTCTTCAAATTGGTGTCTCAACCGTACTGCCAACTTTTCTCGTTTAGGAAAAATTGCCACTTATTTCCCAACCAAGTATTCCAAAGTAAAACTTTGCTCAACTTTAACTGGCTGTACTGAAAAAAATGTACTACAAGAGTTTGGCAAGTAACCTTAAAAGTTGGCGCATTTAATAGCGATTCCAAAATGGTATAACACTTAGAAGATTATTCGTTAACTTATGCACAATTTTTATTTAAAAAAAAACTGATGAAAATTTTTAAATATTTCCTAATCAACAGCGATTATGAAAACGCACAAGGACCCTTAACTGTTTGCACAACAGTGGGCGTCAAAATGCTGCTGCTGATGATTTACCTTTACAGCAAATGCTCAAACTGTTTTCCTTCAGCCGCAATACACGCTCGACATCTTCTTAAAAAAGATCGGGTTATTAAACGAGCGAATCCACGGTTATTAACAAACTCAGCTGCTTCCAATAGTCTTTGCCGTAGCTCAGCTACATTTTGAATCGGCTTGAAATACACTTTTTCTTTTAAAGTTCCCCAGTAAAAAAATCTAAAGGATTCAAATCATGTGATCGGGCTGGCCACGGTATTGTACCAGACCGCCTTATCCATCTGCCTGGAAAGTTTTGATCGAGATACTCTCTCACTGAGAGTGCATAGTGCGCTGGGCAGCCATCATGCTGAAACCACATGTCGTGATGGAGCACGTTTTTTTGCACGATTCTATGGGCTGTACTTTTGGGCACACCTATTTTTAGTTCTATTGCACGCACTGAAGTACTCGGGTCTTCTTCGACAGCTCCT